GAGGTTACTCCACAATCCTTACAGCCTGAAAATACAGGGGAACATATTATCAAAAGCAGACAATTGCAGATAGTAATATGTTGATGCTGAAGGCAACCGTTTTAAAAGGCTTCTGTGACTGCCATATACGATGTTGAAACAACTGGACCCTGCAATTATGCTATTTTCTACTTTGTGGTTAATTTATTTATCATTGCATGAATTAGATTCATAAATAATTACAAATACTGTTTTTCTATATATAGACTTGATACAAGTTGATATGAAAGGCCACAACACTTGTGATTGAGATAATTAATTGCTAAATTATCAGCAACAACATTTGTGATTAAGATAATTAACTGCTAAATTATCAGCAACAACACTTGTGATTAAGATAATTAACTGCTAAATTATCAGCAACAACACTTGTGATTGAGATAATTAACTGCTAAATTATCAGCAACAACACTTGTGATTGAGATAATTAACTGCTAAATTATCAGCAACAACACTTGTGATTGAGATAATCATTTGTAGGTGCTGTGAACTCTTCACAGACATTTTTCATGCTTTTATTTTTAGCCTTTATAACTGTTTATGAATTCAAGACATGGCACACACACAGTGATATATTTTCGACATATTGCTGAATTTGACAGTAACAAGTGCCTGCCTCCTGGACGATTGCTATTAAAATCCATGAAAGAAGCATGTGTCTTTTAAGTGTTTTTCAGTGCAAATGAAGTGGCATGCATTGTACATGCAGCTGCGAGAAAAACTCTGTGTTGTCTGTGCAACATTGTGGCTACTCGACATGAGTGTAGGTTTTTATGATGTTATTAGTGTTATTAGTGTTACCTATGTGATGTTATTAGTGTTATCTATGTGATATTATTAGTGTTATCTATGTGATGTTATTAGTGTTATCTATGTTATCTATGTGATGTTATTAGTGTTATTAGTGTTACCTATGTGATGCTATTAGTGTTATCTATGTGATGTTATTAGTGTTATCTATGTGATGTTATTAGTGTTATCTATGTTATCTATGTGATGTTATTAGTGTTATCTATGTTATCTATGTGATGTTATCAGTGTTTTGTCATTGAAATGACATTGTTTGTTTCATTAGAGTATTCATTAATTGCTAGATTCATGTACATCATAGAATTTGAGTAATACAGACAAAGTGACTGACTTTGCTTTGATTTCATATAAGCAGAGTTACATACAATCTTAGCATAAAAAAGTCTTCGGGTTTCTCCTGTCAAATCTTGGACAATACTACTTTTCATGCTAATGCACAGATTTTTTACCATGCTGGACAAGTAGTTATGTAAAGGATAAAACACGATTCTGAGGTTTTCTTTGACTTAGTAAACCCTGAGGTAAGCTGTGACAATGGTGTGATGATGGCACTGTTTGTCATATTAATTATGTGTTTGAAATTTGAAGTATTAGTATCAGTCCTGATAATCAGGCCATATATTACATGATCACCCAACCACATACTCACTCACCAACCCACTCAAATATATTCGACTTCTTAGCCTTTTAGAATATACCCTTCTTGTGAGCTCTATAGAATTTCACTCACTCACTCAAACCATCATTCCCTCAAATTTATCCTTCTTGTGAGCCCTTTTGACTTTACTCACTCACTCACTCGTATTCCACTTGTGAACCATATAGAATTTCATTCACTCATTCACACAATTCAGGTATACCTCATTCAAATGAATCATACTTGTGAGCCCTATAGAATTTCACTCCTATGCACTCAAACATATTCTTATGTCAGCCCTCTAGACTTTTACTCACTCACTCACTCACTCACACATCATTTACTCAAATGTACCCTACTTGTGAGCCCTCTAGCATTTCACTCACTCACTCACTCACTCACTCACTCACACATCATTTACTCAAATGTACCCTACTTGTGAGCCCTCTAGCATGTCACTCACTCACTCACTCACTCACTCACTCACTCACTCACTCACTCACTCACACAAAGTTATCCTACTTGTTAACCATATCAAATTTCTCTGAGGCACTCACTCACTCAGATTTGTTCGTATTTGTTAGCTTTACAGAACCTTTTCCATCACTTGCAATACACACATTCTTTGGAAAACTGTTTTGCATCAACCACTCTTTCTCACACCCCTTGTTATGATAAGTGAAGGAGGGACTAGGTGTCGTCCAGTGAGACCACCACCCCAGCCACTGTCTCTGCCCATCTGTCTAGCCATCAAATATTCATACCTATATTGTCAGCAGAGGAATACTAGATATCAACACCATCATTATTTGCAAACATCATGCTTCTATAATTCATGTGGTAGACAGCCACAGCACTGATGTGTCGTGAGTAAGGGGATGTCATAGTCTCCTGGGCAATGGCTGACTTATTGATAGCCATATTGACATGCCATGTTGCTGGTTGTGTGACAAATCATCCTGAAAGCAACGTGAATCTTTAATGTCCCCTAGCTACATTATTGGAGAATTGTAGTATGCCTGATGACAGTCTTAATGCCAACTCATCTTACACAATATAGGGGGTATTATCTCATAAAAGGTGCATATCTACTGTATTGTATTGGAATACGAGCAAATAAATTCCGCTATTGGCTGTCTGGTATAATCTTACGATGTTTGAATAATAGAGAAGTGAACAGAAATTGTAGCTTGATACTGAGCATCATTATTGAAGGGTCACCTCGGTGTGTCAGGGTATCAAACATGAACATATGCCAACATGTATCAATAGGTTTGAGTACCGTATATGACGTAATAAGCGCCCAGGGGTATCTCAAAATTAGAAATAGGGGGCTCTTATTAGAGTATAATTTTGGTGAGAAAAAACAGAGTTGAAAGATCATAAATTTTGTGGTTTATGCAGACAGCCTGAAATGATACAAAAGAAAGGTCTGTGTGTATTATACACGACAGATATATTTTCCAGAATTTAATTGGCCATAATTAAGGGTGCATATAACACACGAGTGCATATTATACATGATTAAATAAATCTTGTGTACAGTGATCAATCAGAAGGGGTGCTAATTGGGATTGTTCACTAGCCAATATGTTAACAAATATCGCCGTGGGCGCTTATTAGATTGTGGCGCTTATTACGTCGAATATGGTATATTGACAATGTGATTAACAGTTGAAGAACATGTTGATTATGTCTCTGTCATACTGATTGGATGCTTTTGTTGATTGGGAAAATGGACGACTACTGAAAATAATGTAAAAGTACAAGATTGAAGGTCATTGGAAAAGCTACCAAAACCACACGCCTGACCGCAACCAGTAGTTTAGCCCACACACCTGGAATGCATGACAAGTATCAGTCAATGTGGGTATATAAGGATTAATTGCAATCTCATGCATCTCAACTGCATTGTTGGAAGTTGAAAATGTGATGTTTTTGTGCAATACTTTTATCTCTTAGTATCTACATTACCCATTAATGAAGCTGTTTATATATTGCCTGACACAAGGGAGATAACTGTGTATGGTCTGTGCCACCTCTCAACAATCTAACACCCTGTTCTGTGTGATCAAGTCCGCTCTGATGATGTCTCTCATCTCTATTGATGTATTAATTAGTCTATAATGCTACTGAAACCCAACAGTGCTCCTTATGTACATCTCTTATGGCACATATTCATGCTAAGAATATGGACATTATTTACCCTAAACAAACAGATGGTAAGGCTTGGATTAAGTCAACTTTCAAATGAGGGGCAGTTGGGAGGCAAATTACTTCTTTGGCTCACTAATTTACTTAGAGTTTTGTTTCCTATCAGATTTCCATACCTTAGGTAAATCAACATCACATATATGTGTATACATCTAGTGTTTAGACACCTAAAAGAGAGACAAACTTGATTGTAAACATCCCATATACAAGATTTCATGGGGCGATGCATCTTAGTCTAATAACTATCTGTAAGTACTCAAATACATGGCAGTTTTATGCACTTTATGTTGGTATAATGAAAAGTATGATGTTAAATATTTCAATTCAAGATTTTATTCAGATGCCATGTTTTTTGTGTTTAAAGGACTTCAAGTTTGTTTCAGTTGTGTTTGTCATATTCATGTTTACATGCAATGATCAATCAAAATTTGTTTTCATCTAAGCGTGTGTGTCTCTAGTTCTAGCTACGAAGAAGCATGACTTTGTAGGTGATTACAGTTGAGAAAGTATTGTCTTCCATGATAGTCTATAACTTCTCTCTTGATAACACTACCTAAATGTTATGCCTTGGAGAAAGGCTGAACCCACAATATAAACAACAGCTGATAGACATACAGCATGCAAGGCACAGCTTGCTAAATACAATGTTTATTTCTAATACAGGATATTTACCATCCCAAAACACACAAACGTACTAGCCTCTTTTTACATTGAGAAAAAGAATGTCTAATTTGACAGATTTCAGTCACAAATACTGGAGAGTATTGTTGATATTGGTCATGAGACACCTGTATAAGAATTTTAGATAGAAATACTTTGATAGTGAGCTAAACCTAAATGCGTAAATATCAATTATACTCAACACTAGTGTTGTGTATGCCAATATTCCAGCTGTGACCCAAGAGATTGGTACAAAAATGACTCTAGATTATTACATTATTTCCATAAATGCTTTCTTTGGAAAAAGAATAACACTGATATTTGCTGAAGCTGAAACAATTAATCAATGATCACAACAGATATTTGGGGAAATCAGAACATTGCTTTCAATATGGGTCAGTACGAAGAAGATTGTGATTGGACATATATGATTAATGATTAGAAATCCAGGCATGTATTCTCGTGAAACATGACGTATAATACATCATGAAATACAGTGTCCTATCACCAACCCTCACATGTTGATATCAATCAGTAATACATTCACTCCGTCATCAGATATCGGACAAATGGGATAAAATTGCTTTCGGTCTTTTGTGATGAAAATAAAAACTGTGATTAGGCAACAGCGGAGGGGTTCCGAATTTGATTTTGGTGGGAGTCCTCCTCCGTCACACTTCCAGAGAAGAAACGCTCCACAGAGACTTCAAATCAATACCCAGTCAAATTCCGGCAGAGGACGATCACGCTCACAACGCTTATGGAAATGGGAGTTAGTAACATTGGACTAAGTCTGGCTTGGGAATGAGGCAGTGAGATATTTCTCACTGTATCCGATGTAGAAGATGGGATGTGTAGGAGTGATGCAACATTCAGGGCACTCGTATTCCTTCAGTGGATGTTTTATACCATGTCCTTGGACCAAACACTAGTCACAACATTGGGCTAGTATTGCCGTCTGCTGACCACCGGTGGCTCAAGTTGAAGGACTTCAGATGGACTCTGTATTTTCTGTGATACAAGCTTGTTCTTGCCAGGAGTAATCGTCCAATATCCCACTTTCGTGATTGGTTGTCTTAGAAATACACACAGCCGGAAAAAACAGGATATTCAAGCTCATAACACCCTACCAGGATTCAACAGTGTTGCCGGGCATAGTACTGAAAACAATACATTTAGATAAACAACTTTATTAGGAGCTCATGTTAATTAGTTGTTTTAACGTGATGTCTATTATTTTGCATTTATTTTGAGATCTTAATTTAAACCTCGTGATCGTGAGTGTTTCCCTGATCAGATATATTCCAGATGTATATTGCACTGACACAGTTGGATGATGAAAGATGAGGTATGTGATATGGACAATAGCCTCTCTCCAGATACCTGACAGTGATGAAGATTGTTGGATTTGTATAACAATACTAAGCTGATGTTATTCAACAGGGACAGGTGATATGAATGATATTGACCCCTGATATACAATGCTATGTCTGCAGGACATGTGTAACAAAACTGATTGGTATTAAATCAAGGAAACAGTATTTATAGCAGAGTGGAATGTCACATCAACAGAAAGAGATATGTCCCAGAAAGGAGAGAAATGCAAATGGATGTGAAGATGACTGCATTCGAAAGAATTACTGTTGACGTGGGACAGTTGTGGAAAGATTTATTCCCGGCTGTCACACACTAGTGTTGTGTTCAGTCAGATAATAATAGAAAAGAGCCTCAAATTGAGAGAATATAGCTGGTTACACTGATACTGTGTGATATTCGTTTATTTTAAAAGATATCATGATATAATACATTAAGTTTTTGGGGACAGGAAGTCATGATCAGTAAGAAATAAGCAGGACACTGATTGTCAACAAAGTGGCTGTGATGTGAATAGTAAGTGTGATTTGGTCTGTTTAGACAAGGAGATTGACCACCTGTGGACCAGGAATTGACCCATCTGTGGGACTCTTGTGTGGAAGTAGGACGGTGGAAGTAGTGTTACACAGGACACACTGAGTCCTACGTTTGGTTGCTGACAAGTGGAACTGTCGAGGTGCTGGCATAGTGTATACATGTGGACATTCTGTTGTTAATGTATGCATAAAGACTTGAGATCTTGACTGTGTTTACTTGGAGCAGAAGTGGGACACTTGACTGGTGTTACGTGGAAGTATTTGCATGCAGATACTTGTTGCGTCTGCTGTACCTGTTCACATGAGGCTGGATTGTGGTCGGTGAAGCGTAACCAGCTAGGTTGAAGGTCAAGCCAATGAACAAGAAAAGGAAACATTATCGAGTTTGAGATTGTTAATGAGCATGACCTGAATTGCAACACTCACACTCAATATCTGCATATTTGTTCAGACAGTTCTTATATGTGTTCCATGCCTATAAGCTTTGGAGCTGATTATAGGGTATAGCAAATTCTGTGGTATCGACTTAAGCTGTAAGCGTGTCTGGCTGTGGATTTGAGAAAGGTATTGATGATTTGTTTGACCCGGCATCTTCTGCCTCGTTTGTGTGAGAGAGAGAGAGAGAGAGAGAGAGTCAGCTACGACCGGCCCAATCAACAGTTTACCCATGTCGACCAGCTTCTTACAAACGTGCCAGATAAGATCTGATTGTGTGGCAAGTGCTTTAATCCTACATTTGGAATAAACACTGGTTTACGGGAGCTCCACCTCCTGTGTGCCCAGCTTGGCACTGTGTTGGGATTAACGAGGATGTGATTGGTTTTAATTGGTCAGTTTGATAGAGGGGCACATGTAAACATGTGTGTGGATGGATCCTAACTATACACTTAAGGGACAAGGTACACTTGTAGATACCTCATGCCTTTCACAGCTGTGATTGGACTTCTTGTGGAGAGAGGTGTCGACATGTGTTCCCGATTGTTACCATACACACGTTTTGTTAAATAACAACTTTCATCATGACAGATCAGTCTCAGTTTCGGAAGTATTTTGCTTCCATTCTGCTTAGAAAATCAAACAAGAAAAAGCCTGAAGTAAAAGGGAAAGTTGCAGAACTTCGATATCAGGACGCTGTGAGCCGGTCCATGGATAACCTGCTCACTGTAGCAGCTAGTGTCCCTATACCCAAAGATGTCACGGCTGTAGAACCACCTCACAAAACATCCGAAAAGCCACCGTTGCCAATACCTCGTGATCTTGCACATCTACGCCGACATTCGTATGACTATTGTGTTGACAAGGCCAACGATACTGCTGAGGAAGGAAGCGATGCACCAAGTGATGACGATGACCGTCGAGAAACTGACCAGTTTACAAATGTCCTCTTACATTCCAGAGACTCGGAAGCGTCAGCATCCCCTGTGCCTTCGCAGAAAAGATATTCCGATGGAAGTGGAGTGTTTAGTTTCGTCCGCAGGTCCATGTTATCATCGATGGGTCGATCTGGGAGTATTACTAGTGATAAGGATTCGGATATAGACGAGGATTATTTAAGAGATCGGGATCGAGATCGTGTGAGTTTGTCAAGTGTTCAGACAGCTAGTGTTTTCAATTTATCTGAGGATGATAGTGATGTCTTTGGACAGAGGATACCTGTTCAGAGGGGATGGGCATACTCAGATGAGATGATGCAGGTAAACATGGAGATAAATGTCAATCAGTCGATGTCATCCCCAAAATAGTTCCTCAACCACCATTTACAGCACATATTCCCTGCTATACCACCTGGTCAGATATAATCTAGACAGTATTTTGAGGTTTTTAATCAAATATTTTTCATGCTGAGAAAATGACAGTGATGTCATGTTATAAAGCTAGCCAGGAAAAAGAAAAGGATAATTTGTTATCTTCAGAATCTGAATATATTCATTGTATCTGACAGCCAGGACATTGGGGAATAATGATCTGAGATGTAAAATAAAAAAAGATCGCTATGTACCTTGACAATGTCAAAAGATTTGCAGTCATTATTCATGATATACTTTTGTGACAGGACATAGTGAAATGTGTGAGCTTATGGAGGTCGTACAGTACATGATTGATACCTTCAATCCTTAAATCTCCAACCTTCTGTCAGGAGTAGAAGGAATATTGATTCATGCATAACCTAGTAACGCTACACAAGCTATTACAATACCATGAAGAATAAACTTGCTATGCCATACACTAGTTAGACCAAACACTTAAATCATGTCATACACTATGCCATACACTGTGGCATACATTAGTTATACCATACACTGTTGCATACATTAGTTATACCATACACTGTGGCATACATTAGTTATACCATACACTGTGGCTTATGTTAGTTATATCATACACTGTGGCATACATTAGTTATACCACACACTGTGGCATACATCAGTTATACCATACACTTTGGCATACATTAGTTATACCATACACTGTGGCATACATTGGTTATATCCTACACTGTGACATACATTGGTTATACCATACACTGCGGCATACATTAATTATACCCTACACTGTGGCATACATTAGTTATACCATACACTGTGACATACATTAGTAATATACCATACACTGTGGCATACATTAGTTATACCATACACTGTGGCTTATGTTAGTTATACCATACACTGTGGCATACATTAGTTATACCATACACTGTGACATACATTAGTAATATACCATACACTATGGCATACATTAGATATACCATACACTGTGGCATATGCTAGTTATACCACACACTGTGGCATACATTAGTTATACCATACACGTTGTTTCAACCGAGCAGATACTGTAGTATAATGTTTCAGCCTAGCAGATACTGTGGTATAATGTTGTTTCAGCCTAGCATTTACAGTGGTATTATGTTGTTTCAACCTAGAAGAAACTGTGGTATAATGTTGTTTCAACCTAGCAGATACCATGGTATAATGTTGTTTCAGCCTAGCAGATACAGTGGTATAATGTTGTTTCAGCCTAGCAGATACAGTGGATAAAATGTTGTTTCAGCCTAGCAGATACTGTGGTATAATGCTGTTTCAGCCTAGCAGATACAGTGGTATAATGTTGTTTCAGCCTAGCAGATACTGTAGTATAATGCTGTTTCCTCCTAGTAGACATTGTTTTACAGAAGTGTGGTCCAGCAATTGATTATCTAAATGATAAACCTCATAATGACATTGGGGCGGTGCTGTTTGACAACATTGTTCAGTTCAAGTGTACAACACACAGGGGACAACTTCATGTACAGAGGTAATTGTGTGCTGTAGGTGGACTGTCTGTTTTCGTTGTGTTACAATGCACTCGTAATATATCACTGAAGCTGGGGCTTGGATGAAGCCCTTACAACACACATATACACATACAAACACTTCCACCCACAGAATCTGTCCACACAGTGTGATGGGTGTCATAAAACAGCTGAAATATTGTGCAACACAGGCTTTGTCATTGGCAGTGGGAAGGATTTAACATTACAGTGATTGTGATAGGATACTTCCACGGCTACATCACTAAGGAACATTAGGAGAACAGAACAGATTCCTGGTATAAGCTGATAGATCTCATTGAACAATGTTATGTTACAGTAAGGGTGAGCTTGTGAAGTTCTTTGCATCGCTAAGACTTAAAGCATTGGCCCCCTCCATTAGTGAATTCCTGGCCTGAGAATCTAGGAGGTAATTACTGGAGTCCAACAACAAGAATCTTCCCCACAGACACGCTGAAAGTGCTTATAGAAGTGTTGCGTTCTCTTTGGTTAGGAGTGGTTGCACATTTCGTGACCTTTTGTGTAATGAAGTCTTATGGATTTCAACTTCATTTTCTTCCCATGCAACATTTCGCTGCAGATGCTGGTATCTGCATCAAGCAGATGACATCACTTGTTTGATAGTATCGGCATATGTACTGATACATGACAAAAATATCAATGTCAAGTTTAATATCATTGATACTACCTTATTCCTTATAGAAGGTTTGAACCAGTTGCCAAGGGGAGTTATTTAAAGCACAATGGGACACTGTAGTGAGTCTGTGCTGCAGTATTCCTGTCAGTGGATGACAACACAGGTATGTTTGTCATGAGTGAGTGAGTGAGTGAGTATGGTTTAACGCCGCTTTTAGCAATATTCCAGCAATATCACGGCGGGGGACACCAGAAATGGGCTTCACACATTGTACCCATGTCGGGAATCAAAACCGTGTCTTCGGGGTGACGAGCGAACGCTTTAACCACTAGACTACCCGACCGCCCCTTGTTTGTCATGACAATCGGTCACTACGCCGGTATTAATGTGTGGACTGAATGACGGAATTCCTTCCAACTTCATGGGTTATATTTACTGGTTATATTCCAATCTTGTCTAGCCTTGCTTCAGCTGTTTTGACATACAAGGTTGCAGTTGAAATTAATTTCAACAATTTTGATGAATTGACTTTTGATTATTGTTTCAATGGAATTAGAAATGATCTATTGTGTGGATACGCAGGACTGTGATATATTTGATACAGTTATTGGGAAGTTGCTGGAGTTATTATTCAGTGGAAGAAAGTTTGATGCAAAGTGTTAAGTGACAGTTTTAGAGGAAGGTCATTACAGTCTTGAGGTTGTTTACAAATACTTGTGTGCACAGATGTGCATAGATATGCAGATGAGCACAAAACTGATGATGTTGTCTTAGGTTTTGCATTGGACATAGATTTATATTATTAAAAAAACTATGATGATGTCACGCTATTGTTGGTGCAGTTGATTCTGAGTCAAGGATTTAGTGGTCATTTTAACAAAATTTAGACACCTTAATATTTAGGTCAGAGTAAAACTGAAACAACTATAGGTCATTATGCAAAATTGTCGATAAGTTATGTGTCAACCATAACATGGTTTAGTCGGAGAAATCACTTAAATCTTTTGATTCTGCAAGTAAAATCAACAGATTCAGGCTATTTCTACATTTCTTCTCGGCATTAGACTGAATGTGGTTTTCTGCCGCTTTTAGCAAAACTCCAACATATCAGGGGACCCCAGAAATGGGCTTCACACATTGTACCCATGTTGGAAACAAACCTGGGCCATTTGCATGATTAGCAGATACCACAACCTCTAGGCTACTCCACCAGCCCTAGGGGCATTAAGAGTAGCCACATGGTTTCTATGTTGAACATACAGGTCCATCACAGACATGGCAGGATTTTGATTTTCTTCCCCAACATTGTTTCATTAATTATTCACAATGTCAAGATCAAAGGTTGCAAACTCAACACTGTATGCAATGTTAATTTTGTATAATTAACAGAAATGGCAAGACTTCCTGACATATCCGTATAGCTACTAAGCATCACAAGGTAGATTACATAGTAGACAGACACTGCAATTAAGTCTGAATATCAGACGAAAACAATTGTCACGTACCACTGCACCATTGCAGCTTTAGGCCACGCCCCAAATAGTTTTGCTTCGCAATCCGATTACGAAACATGTGATATCAACACTTTCACTTGGGTGTTTAAATACTTTCTACGAATGTTATAACTTTTTTGTCTCAGGAATTGACATAACGTATCTAGGAAAATTGATATTCGCTACAAAGTCACAATAAATTTTTTCATGATACTTACATTTAAACATTGCATTAATAATCAGCATTATCTAGAATAGACAAAACACATTAACTTAACTGTTATAATGTCATTGTACCAATCCATGTGAGATAGCGTATTTACTGATGTTGAAATTATAAGATAAGAAAGAGCCTATTAAAATCCCTGTTGTGATGTTCCAATAGAGAGAGTGAAGGTTTTATCAACACTGACATGCAGTCACCTAGAGCTGGGACGGGAAGATGAATAATGAGAAGGTTATCACAACCAAATCTGGCTATTATTGGGCTGGAGATAGTGAAGATGATCACCATCAATCGGAACGCTGTTGGGTTTGAACTGATCGTACATATTGTCATGAAATGTTTGGCCAGTCGACACATGTTGAAATATTTACCCTTGAAGGATCAAACACATGTTTTGCTACTGTTCAACATTTTCTTTTAAAGATAAATACTGTTTTTGTACAGTTCACTTAATGTTACCTTTTAGATGTCCTTGCACTGGCTACATTTACAGACTGTTTGTTGTCAGATATTTGCTGAAGCATAGCAGACAGCTGTCTTCATGTGGGGAGACCACCTCCGTGGTCTTGTGGTAGAGCGTCCGCCCAGAGAGCGGAAGGTCCGGGGTTCAATCCCGGCCCCGGACATGTCATACCAAAAGACGTTAAAAGATGGTACTTGCTGTTACCCTGTCTGGCGCTCAGCATTAAGGGGCTGCCTAAACAAGGACTGGTCGGCTCAGAGTCAGTATGCTGTGTCTGAGTGGGATATTCATGTTAAACTGTGGCATGGTATCTCAGTAAGCTAGCACTATAAATTGGCATGAGTCCGGACTAGTACAAGCAGACACACACACACGTGCATGCACGTCGCTGTGTAAGTGCAATGATCTTGGACGCGACGTCAAACCCAATTTGACCTCACCTTCATGTGGGGACTCAATCATGCAGATAACAAAATGAATTTGGTGTTACACAGGGTGAAAGGTGCATACTTTTATGTATTTCCAAAAGCGTGGAGTGTTCTCTGAACTCAGTGAATGTGTTATTGCC